CTCCGCGAGATGTAGCGATGGCGTCCTCCACCCTCTTGCTGCTCATTTTTATGAACCGCCTGGGATGCTGCTCCCCTGCTCGAGAGCCCTTCCAACTGGGCACCATTCAGTCCCCGCCAAGTCCGTCAACCCCAGGTGCCAGTCCCAGTGGGTGCTGACAGCATTTGAACGACACTTTGAAAGTATAAGCTTCCTTCTGCGCTCATTGTTACGCTGGACTCGGCCCTACAAGTAAATGTGGCTTTCCAGTTATTCCACCCGCTCGAGTCTCTGGTGTTTGGCTTTATATTTTCCACATGTAATCTCTCTCTGTCCCTCAAAAAAGAAAGAAAGATGGTAGGTAAAAAACAAGAAGTACCGTACATACTCGAGTATAAGCCGACCCGAATATCATCCGAGACACTTAATTTTACCACAAAAATGGCATTTTAAAAATGTGCTGAAAAACTCGGCTTACAGTGTATAAAACTAGGCTACAGTGACTGATCCTGGTACTGATTGCCTTGTTCGTTGTACAGTGCAACCGTGGAGAGTCACACACATCGAAACATGTGGTTCCTGCCGACAGGGTCTGTATAGTGATCAGATTTTCTGTGCGATGGTTCCAGACATATAAAAACAAAATAGGCTACAAACTGGTAGCTTCTTTTTATACGTGTTCAATCTTATAAACTTAGAAAATGCAGATTATTTGACACGAGACACTGCTGCTCAGAGATAGCCAGTGTCAGAATTGTGGGCGGAAGCCTTTCACACCGCTGCGAGTAGGTTAGAACCACTAACCCTGTGGTTAGCAGCCTAATACCAAGCCCCAGTACCACGCGAGCTCTTTTTTAACTGCTCTGTATGATGTAATGAAGAGTCATATCCAATAGCCAACATGAATGAGCACTTAATTTTCACGAGGCAGCCTTTGAAGGGCTTTCATATCAGTGTCCCCATTGTACAGGTGAGGAGCCTCGGCCTCACACAGATGGAAAGGCCATCAGGACTGGCACAGGCAGAAGCCCTGCCTTCTCATCCCTGCCAACACCCACCGCTGTCGAGCGGAGTCGATTCTGCCTCATAGAGACATGAAAGGACAGGGTGGAGCTTCGCCATAGGGTCCCAGGGCTCTAAATCTTTTAGGAAGCCGGCCGCCACATTTTTCGGTAGGTTCAAACAGCTGGCATTTGGGTAGCAGTTCAACACTCACCCCACTGTTCCCCCAGGGCTTTTCTGCACCTCTAAGCCCGTCTTACTCACCGTATTACTTCCAGGCTTAACGTTTGCAAGCGCTTACTTACTTGCTAGCATAGCTGGCCACGAATGGGACAAGAGACATCCACGTCTGCAACTTGAGGATCACTCCCCCAGCATGGTCATTGTGTCCCTGGTTTCTCCCGGGCCCTGCGAAGTCGTAATCTTCTTGGTGAGCCAGGTAGAAGCCCAGCTGTTGGCCCTGCCCTTCCCAAGCCACCATAATTATGTAACCCAGTGACCCCTGTGTCCGGCTGGCTGGCCATGAGAAGTGACGCTCCAGGCGAGGGGGCGAATCAACAGTTTCAAAATTGTTATCAGCGAGTTGCTGCTTCTTAACCTTTTGGGTTTAAGGTTTTCCTGTAACATGTTGAAATATAAGACAGGTTTTGGGGGAACATTATTTTTCTTCAGTTTCAGCTTATCCTGTTCTTGCTTAATTAAAATGGTTCACCTGCTCCCCCTAAACTTTACTGTGCTTTCTGTTGTTGTTTTTAACTCAGAAATGGCGCAGTTGGGAAACTACGATAGCGGGACAGCAGAAACTCCAGAAACGGATGAGTCCTTGAGTGTGAGTACATGTGTGGTGAAGCGTGCCGCGCTCTCTTGTTCACTGGCGTACAGAGATCGGGGCGTGTGGGTGACTTGATCCCCCAAATATTTGTCGTGTCTCTACCGCATGCCAGGCCCCAGGCCTATTGGGCTTAGCGCCTCCCTCCAAAGAAAAATTAATAAAAAGAAATCACCCCCGAATGTAATGTAATAAACATGAGTAAGCTATAGGAAAGGAAGATGACTAGACACTACAAGAGCATCCCATAAAGAGGCATAAAGGGGGTTGATTTATAACTCTGGTGTGATGTAAAGTGAGTTGGTTCAGAAGCTCTGCCCATGCTGTTCCCTGGGCCTGATGCCCGGGAGCAGAAGACATGTGCAGCCAAGAACAAGGGAGACCGCAGAGGCAGACAAGAACAGTTGGACATCTAGGTCCTTTTTCCCATAAGAACATTATAAGTGGGTGCTTTCTCTCAGCATTCTCTGCTTTTGTTGTTCTGTCTCCCACAGCACTCCCTACTTTGCATCTGGGCTCTATAATGCATTGCAAGGCCCACAAAGAACTCCTAGACAATGCTCACAGGTAGAGGGCTGACTAGGGAAGGGCACAGTTTATAATTCAGATGTAGGATGCTTAGGATACAGTTGTTCCATCAAGGGAGTTTCTCAGCCTGAGCTGACCCTCAGCCTCACAGCCTGGCTTCTGCCCTGCTCAGGAAATGTTTCAAAGCTCTTTTAGCACTGCCAATAGGTGCCCCAAGGGGATGCTACTGTGCCGTAAGCCTCAGCCTGAAGGCACTTGGTCGCAGCTTCATTTTTCAGCAAACCCCACTCTCCTAATTGAGTTTCTCGATGCATACTTCAGCACTTCACTTCACTTGCCCTCTGGGCTAGGCAGTCCATTGCTGAGTCTCATACTCTTGTTCTTGATTCTGCTGCTCCTCCCCTGCCACTCCCAGTGATCTTCTGGAAGAAGGAAGCTCAGTGCACAAGGATCTCAGGGTCCACAGGCCTCGCTGTACTCCTGGATCTTACTCTTTTGCTGGTAGTGAGATCCCCACCTCCTGCTTCTGAGATGGCTGGTTTTATACTCAGCAGGATGGCAATTCCAATTAGCTCTGTTAACAAGCACTCTGAGCTGAATCATAATCTAACCATCACCTTCCTCTGACCTTCTTACCCAGGCCCACCAGGAAAGCAAAAGTTGTTTGGTGAGAGTAAGTCTTTGGGGAGAAGAGCCATATTAAATAATCCACTGGATTACGGTGTGTCTGTTTTCTTCCGGGTCTGGGGCACTGTTGAGCTTTGAGGGATGTGGATGTGTGTAAGAGAGCTGTGGGGAAATACCTGGAATCAGAGTGCCTAGCTTGGTGGCCTGGTGAAGTCAGTGAAGCGACTAGAGGGCCACAGGTGAGAGGTCCTAGTGCTAGTGCCACTCTCTTAGTTACAAATGCCAAAGAGGGACCAGAATGGAGTGGGGGTGGGGTGGTCAGGGAAGCAGGTGCTGTAAGTAGGCTCATAGCTAAGAATCCATCTCTGGAGTGGGAGCGTGTAGATATGAAACCCAATTCCACATCTTAGAAGTTGTTTCCAAAGCTGCAGTTACCTCATCTGTAAAAGAGATGTCATAAAGATTACAGAAGATTATATGAGCTCATCTACGTAAGAACATTAAAACACCACCATCCCCTAGTAAATACAACAGAGAAGGTAGACATTGCTATTTTTATCGCCATGTCCATCATTTGGATGTGCTGAGACTGAAGCTCCATTGAGACATCCAAAAAGAGCCGGCGAGCAGGCTGTTGCTTCTAACGCCTGGTACCTTCCACTTCTTGGATGAAAAGCGTTTGGCAGAGGCTGCCATCACTTAGACCTTACCTGTGGCCATGCAGGAGGTCCCTCAGGCATGGAGGCAGAGAGGGAAAGGAGCTTGGGGCAGAGCCTACGGTTCTGAGCCAGGGAAGAGCAGCCGGAGCGAAAGTCCTGGAACAAGGAAAGACGCCCAGTCTTGAGTTATGTCTTCTGAGATGGGACATTTGCAGGTGACCCAAGTCCTGGGGTCAGGCAAAAGGAGAGGAGAGAGGTGGAGCTTTGAGTTGAGGGGGTCCAAGAATCTTGCGGCCATCAGATAGATGTGTGATCGGTGTAAACACTGAACTCACGCAGGACGGTGAGAAAACACGGGCAGAGAGGAAGGTGGGAAGCCAGTGCCCGTGTCTTCCAGCAGAGTCGGAGAGGATGGCGTGTATCTCAGCATGACGAGGTTTCTTAGACGATGTGCGGATACCGTGGTGGGAACAGAGAGGCTGGGCATGTTGTCAACTCTAAGCTACACGTGGTGTAAGAGGATTCTTTCACGTGGTTTATTCTTATCCTTTGAACTGAAGTTTTAAAGTTTTAAAGTAGCCGTCTTTTTGGAAACCGACACCTTCATCAAGGGAAAACGGGTGTGGACGACGAGGCTTGCGTTCTGCACTGGGATATTGCAAGCTTAGGACCTTTTGTAAGAAAGAGCGGTGGCCCCCGGAATGACACGGCTCTACCTGTGCTGGTCAGGGACAGGAAGGGCACATGGTGGACGCCTCCCGTCCATTCTGTTTTGGCTGGAAGCGGACAGAAGATGTGGCATTTTGGATGGAACTCGGTCTTTTAAAATGTTACGAGACTGGGGTGAGGCTCACTTGAATCGTTGACCCAGGGAAGTGAACATCTGGAATTTTCAGAACGCGTGGTGGGCTTCTCTGTGAAGTAGGAGTTGGTTCACATCAATGCTTCCCAGTGTGGGTGGACAGCCTCCCTGGGGGTTACTGGAACAATCCAGGGGGTGAGGGCGCTGCCAGAGCAGATTCCCTAAACGCTGTCCTTGATTATGGGCTATATTATAAAAATTTCCCATTGCCAGAGGGGTGGGAGAATTGCTTTTCCCACCAAAAAGGGGGTGGTGGGCCAAGTACATTTGGGAAGCTCTGGTGGACGTGAAACCGAGACCGCGTTCTCGGGAGGAGGCGCTGGTCTGCATGGCTGTGGAAGATTGGCCTGGAACGCGGTCACACAGCTTCACTTGGTTCGAATACAAAACCCAAACCAAACTCACAGCCATCAAGCCGGTGCCGCCTCATAGTGACCCCCTAGGACAGAGTGAACCCGCCCTGTGGGTTTCTCCCTGGGAGTGACTGTCTCCTCGTTCTCCTGGCTGGAATACAGGAGAGTTCAAATGATGGAGTTCCATTCTTACATCTGACTGTAAGTCAGTCGCCTTTGTCTGTCAGAACGGGTAGAGAGCAGCCTGTCTAAGATCAGTAGGCCAAACGTTTGTCTTAGTATTCACTACCTTTCTGTGCTTAAAAAAGAGATCAAAGAAACACTTGTGGCCATGCAAAAATATCTTTAACATAGTAGTACAGTAATAGCATACTTCGATGCCTGCAACAAAGTAGCCCCCGTTTGTTGTGAGCCAGTGTGTGCGCCTTGACTTTGTGATGGAGCAGCCTTTTCGCGGCTTTGGTCCGTATCGACTGGTTGTTGTGCAGGAGGCTGGCCTGCAGAAGCTGGGCACTGCCCTACTCTCCTTCAACAAAGTACGGGACAGGGCTTGTCGGCCATGTCTTTAAGCTCTCTCACCCGGCACTGTCTTTTAACTTGCACATTTTGTTTCCAAGAGCTCCAACGCCTCCCTGAAACTTCGAAGGAAACCTCGGGAAAGTGATTTCGAAACGATCAAATTGATTAGCAACGGAGCCTATGGGTGAGTAATTCAAGAAAAGTTTCCCTATTGGATTTCAACCCACCTGAGTCACATCCTTTTCACATTTGGATAACGTCAGATGGATACTTTGTGTGAGCTTGGCACCTTCCGGGATGGGTGTGATGTGCGGCCCATTTGATTTCTGCTTGGATGCCCCTCAGAAAACATAGCCCCCAGGGTCCTAGAAGGGAGTAGAGGCGGAGAGAGGAAGATTTTATTAAATAAGAGAAAATAGGAAAGTAAAGAGAAAATGTATACACTCATGCTTTGTAACTCCTTCACTCTGCCCTTTTGATTTGGGGAATCCCTGACGTTTGATGGAGTCAGAGTTTTTGTTTGTTCCCATACATAGAACATATATGTATGCCAGGGCAGGGGAGTCTCCTGCATATTCCTTGTGTAGCATTCCTCCCTGAGAATCAGTCCTGTCTGTCACACATAGCCACCAAACTTGTAAGAGAGGTATTCAGGGATGAAGCTGGCTGAGATGCCTGAGTGCTCACTGCCATTTGCTGCGCGTGTTACCCCAGGGTGCTAGAAATCAAAGTCATTCGGGAGTGTCTTTCTGATGGCCTAGGGCAAATTGTGATCAGATTCTTCTGAGTTTACTAATAAATAGTTTGGACGGATAATTAATACGCAAACTACCTCCCGGTCCATTTTAGACAGCCCCAGCCTTGGAGTTTAATTAAGTATTAATCCCGAGTCCATCTGTATGTGGAGAGCAGTAAACAATCCCACAGACATTTACTGCCATTTAACACACATCTGAGCAGATGAGATAAAAGTTACTGTTCTTGGGCCACCAGGGATGTTTCCCCTGACGAATTTTTTTCCCACCTCTGATATTTTCCACACCATTAGCGTAGTGAAGAACTTAAATATTTGAGAGTCCTTTCTACGCTCCACTGGCTTGTTTTCAGCATTTGTGTTAAATGACATATTTCCTGATTGCACCTTATAAATGCTTTCTGATGCTGTATTTCCACCGCATGTTCAAACTCAAAAGTTCCTTCAAACTTTTCTACAGAGGAAAAAAATCTTTCTGGCCTGTGGTTGTTGGCGAGTTTTGTGTGTGTGATTGGTTGTTTAGTTCTTTTTCCCTTTGGGAGGCAATCTAGGGATCTCTTCTCGCTGTGGGGAACAAAACCGCACTTGGACTTCATGACTCGATGGAGTCGCGTGCTCCTAAATCTTGGGGGGTGGACAGAGGGCTTCTGGGGTAGGATGCTCTGTGAGACACCCTGTTTGTGAGACGTGGGCATCTATCTTAGCAGTGTTTGCAGTTGTAATTGGTTGAGTAAACTCATTTGTAGCGCAATTAAACAACTGTGTAGTAGATGAGGTAGATCGCACGTTGGGGAACGGTTGGGAATCTACAAGAAGTTAAACAAGCTGTGAATCCGTAAATACCCAGGAAGCAGGCCAAGGCATTAATGGACTCACAAGCTGCTGGGGCGAGCCTCCGCCATCCCGCCAAAACTTTTACCCCCTTTGCTCTTCTCAGATTTAATCGCTCATTGCATTTCCAACAGATTTCCTCTACATTTTAATTATTTTTAATTTGAAATTCAAATGGAGCTACCCCCCTTCGCATGCCCACTCGACGCTGATGGCGGGAGGATGTACCCGGACTCCACAAATGGGAGCCTCTGGGGGTGGCCAAAGCCAGACTGGTAGAGGTTTCCCTCGGCTTCGGTGTGGCAGGTACACCTCTCCCCTCAGTGACTCCGGGTGACACCATTCAGTGGTTGCTTGAAAAGCCGTAGTGCAGCCAGCGCCCCGAGTCTCGCCAGCCAGGGCTCTGTTCCCCGTGCTGAAGTGCACACCTTGGTTTTCTCAAGGCCAACTTCAGGGGCATCCGTGTCCTAAGGTCATCAGGCTCATCTGTGTCACAGCAGAGTCCCTTCCCTCTTCACCAGGCTCTGGTCCCTGACTGCTGGGGCAGCATCCCTTTATACCACGTGTAGTTTCACCTGTGTTTGGTTTTATTGGCTTACATTTCACATGTTGTACAATGTAATCATTCAGTCCTCGTAGGAAGGTTTGTGCAGTCATTGCCACAGTTTCTCAACATTTTCTTCTCATCTTCACTGGTGTTCGCTCCCTATTCCCTCCATCCCCCTCAAGCCTTGCCCCCAGGCATTGATTAATCCCATTAATTGTCTCTGTAGATCAACCTATTCTGTATCTCATATGCAGAAAGCCAAAGCACAAACAGCACGCAAGCAAACAAACAATGACTAGACAAAGGGACATCTCCATCAAAAAGAAAGCAGAAAAATATTAAAGCGGAAACAACTTTAAGAGGGAGGCCTTGTTGCTGTTAGTAGCCATGAACTCAACGCACAGCGACCTCGTGCACCGTGGAACAACACGCTAATTGGTTCTGCACATCGGTCATCCCTTGGGGAGTGAACCATTGTGGCCTGTAGAGTTGTTTGTTGGTGGTTTTTGCAAAGTAGGTGGCCAAGCCTTTCTTCCTAGTCTGGCGTAGTCTAAAGCTCGGCTGAACCCTGTTCTCCATCATAGCCACACGCAAGCCCCCACTGGCCGACAGGAGTGGCTGCACCCAGGTCTATGGGCCGGAAACCAATGGCGGTCTCACACAGAACAAATGAGAACTAGCCCTGAAGCACTATGCTCCCCTGCCTAGCCAGCGTGTGGCTCTGTAGGAAGCTAGCATGTGTTTGGTCCACACACCAGGGCACAGGGAAACCTTTGGGAGCCTGAACATGGAGGAAGTGTCTGGTTTTTCTGTTTTTCTCGCATTTCCTTCCTCCAACCGGGCGCAGTCGCGCAGTCGTACCACCTCTATGTCACTATCAGGGAGAGGTATTTGCATTGTCCTTGTCTGATTTCCTCCTTACACAGGTTCCAGCTTTATTTTACAAATAAAAAGCTCCATTGGAAACGCACAGTGTTTTCCCCTTCGTTGGCTTTTCTTTCCAACCATGATGCACATTAGTCTCGTTGACCCCTCCATGAGTCCCCACCCCACCCTCCCCCCAGGCCCTCTCACACCTGCACCCTCACTCCCACATGCAGATTGACTCCACTCAAGGGGGCTCTCAGATACGTGAGATTTTATTCGCATCAGACACTCCTGTTCCCAGTAGGCCTGACTCACTTGTCAGCGGCTGCTTCCATCTCTCTCTGCCCTCAAACCCCTTGGTCTGCTTGGTAAGAGGGAAGCTCTTGCTTCTCCACAACCCCCTCCCCCCTGCCCCATCCTCGTCCCCAGGAAAGCCAAGCCAGTGGAGGAGCACAGACCAAAACACAGCTTCTACAAGCCAGCCACCCTTGGGGACTGCGTCCGTTTTCTGGCCCATCTTGATAACGTTGAAGGGTTCTAGCTGGGCTTAGTAGTGTGAGATGTCTGTCTGTCTCTGGCTATCTGTTTGTCTGTCATTTCTCTCTCCCCCATCGCTGCTGACTTTAGATTAAGAACATCTATTAACCGAAAGGACAAATGATTGGAAGGAGACAACAGTGATTGGTAAATAAACAATTAGTAAATACAAAAAATATTTTATAGCATTAAGAAGATTTCTGGATTTTGGACTCATATGCAATCCTAGCTCCAATGTAACAATTTGTTCTTACATCATGGCCCTGCTTGATATTCGCCCTCAGGAAGGGAACATAAAAGATACACATGCATTAGCAAAATATGGCGAAGAAATGAGACGGTGTCTAGCTATCAGATAAAATAGCCTCTGGGGTCTTAAAGACTTGTCTCCAGACAAGCCGCCACTTCAGGGAGGTGTCCACTAATTCCACATGGAGGAAGCGCACCATCATCAATCACCAAAGGAGTATAAACGATCTAATCCAAAGTAAAAGGAGGGATTAATACCAGAGCCTCAATTGTGAGATTCCAGTTTGCAGATGGCTATGGATGACAGTGGGAGTTCAAGATTCATTTGTGAGAACTACGTGGGAAATAAGCCCCTGGTGATCCCATTCAGTCGTGGTGGTGGCGGCGGGTAAAAGGGAGACAATGTCAAGGAGGCCAGGAAGAAAAGGAATGTTTGGAAACTGATTGTGGTAGCAGTTGTACAATGCTGGCTTGATGTGATTGAACTATGGAATGATATATGTATTAACTCCCAATTAATAATAATTTTTTTAAAAAAGAAGACTATTCCTCAGAAAGCACAAAAATGCAAGAAGCTAAGAATGTTTAAAAAGAAAAGTTATAAAGCCAGCCGGAGCAATATGAACACATATGTCCTTGTGCAATTTGATGAGAATAACAAGGGACCACCAGGATGGATTTCAGCGGGTTCAGGTGAATTTCAAAAGGGAAGAACTGATTCATGCTTGAAGTACATCGTGACAGGAGAAAGTCACATCAGATTTTGTGAACAGAAATCTGGGACTCAAGACTGAGGCTGTGTGTCACCCAGTCCACAGTCCCAGGCAAATTCACAGTTACTCGGGGGTCAGGGGGCTTTTCTGCTTTCTTCTCTCATGAAATCCTGTACAGCTCTGTGCTTCCTGCTCCACTCCTGTCATTCTCAAACATAAAGCTGAACAGTCAGAGATGTGTGAAAAAAGGCTGTGCTTTATTGGCAATCAAAATGACAACCTTCAGATCATCTAAATGTGTGACAGTCAAAATATCCTATGTCGAAGATTCTCATTTTTCTTGGATCCACAATCAAAACTCTTGGAAGCAGCAGACAAGAAATCAAATGGCATATTGCATTGGGCCAATCTACATGCAAAAAGATCTGTTTAAAACCCGGAAGAGCAAGGATCTCACTTTGAGGAGTAAGGTGCGCCGGGCACAGACCATAGTACTTTCAGGCACCTCTTGTGCAGGCGGAAGCCGGACGAACGCGAGCAGAGAAGAATGGATGCACTTGAAGTCTGGCGCTGGTGCAGCCCGTTGAAAGTGCCCTGGACTGTCAGAAGAATGAACAGATCGGCCTCAGAGAAGTACAGCCAGCATGCTCCTTCAGGATGGTGAGATTTGGGGATGTCATCAGGCCGGCGTTGGGAAAGGATATCACGCTTTGCACAGTGCGGAGTTGGTGAAAAAGAAGAGGACCCTTAATGGGATTTTTGATACAGGGGCTACGAGAGTGGACTCCAGCACACTCTTTGTAAAGATGGTGAGGGAATAGGCAGTGTTTCACGCTGTTGTACATAGGGTGGCTGTGAGCCGGACCTGACCCAACGGCACTTGAGAAGCCTCACCAGTCAACGTCCTATGAATCGTGGCTAGGAGAGGTGGGGAGCAAGCTGCGCGGCAGTAACTTACAGTACACAGATGGTTGCATAAAAGCGTTGTTTGGTTTTTTGTTTCACATGGTAAATGCTAACTTTCAGGGGGGTGGTTTGTTGTTGTTAAATGGATCTTCTATTTCAAAAAATCCTTTTCATTGCAGTATCTGCCAGTGTTTGTCTCACGTTGAGGGCAAAGCAAGGTCTTTCCTAAGCTCCTTGGCAGCATCCATGCTTTCCAGCATCGGATTAGGAGCAGCTCGTTTTCTGTGTGTATGGAATCTCGTGTTTATCTCATCCATAATTCGAGAAAGATATATGTGTGGTGGAAGCCTTAAGTCGGATTGAGAAAGGAGGAGTCCTTTCTTGGTTAATTAGAAAGTTGGTCGAAATGAGACATCATTTTGAAAACGATACATCCTCTGAGCATTTCCATGTGACCCAAGTTTATATAAATTTACTGAACTTCTGTGCTAAGGGCAGACCTCTAGGTGGCAGCCCACAGACACCCTGTTTGTAATCCTCATTTCTCTGCTTCAGTTGGAGTGTCTTTAAAGGCGAGGCAAGAAAAGGAAGCGATCTAGAGATTGAGGCACTCTGGAATTACTCATTTTATGATTTTCCCAACTTTCCAAAATGCCCTCACCCACAATAAATCAGTAGGAATTGCATGTAATAGCGCACTTTTATCAAGGCTTTCTGAAGCATTGGGTTTAGTTTTTGTTTGTTTTGTAAAGAGTGCTTTATTTACCTTTTCACACTCATGGTTCACCAGTGTAAGTATGTCTTCAAGTTACTTCATCGCCATTTTGAGCCCTGGCAGCATAAACAGACTCCGTCATCCCTCTCTACAGCAAAGAGTTAAACTCTTGACGAAAAGGTTGGCAGTTCAAACCCACCCAAAGGCATCTCAGAAGACAGGCTTGACAGTCTGCTTTCAAGCTGTCACAGTCTTGGAAGCCCCCTGGAGCTTGCTCGATCCTGCATACCCAGGGTCACGATGAGTCCAAATCAGCCCGAAGGCCGTGAACAACAACATGAACACCCAAACCCACTGCATTTGAGTCAAGTCCAACTCATAGGGACCTCACAGGATAGAGAAGAACTGCCCCTGTGGGGTGCAGAGACTATAACTCATCGTTCTCCCGAGGAGCAGCTGGTGGTTTCAAACTGCTGACCTTGAAGTTAGCAGCCCAATGCATAACCATGATGCCACCAGGGCTCCTCTTTACTTTGTAACAAAAGAACTAAAAGCCAAAGAACTGAGAAGAGAGGGAAAGTGAGTAAAGTAAATAAGAAGTACTGTTGGGACAATGAAAAAGAAAAGCTTGTGAGTGAAGAAAAAAGATGAACGCCATCAAGACAAGAAGGTGCACTGACTTGCACAAAGAACGAGTTGTCAGCCGAACGCTTAAGGAGAAATAAGAATAGTGGTTACACTGGAATTGACGGTTTTCAAATGTCTAGACGTGAATCACTTGATAGCGATGCCACAGGAGCATTGGGGGTCCCTAGGCCTCCTATGTTCAGTGTTCAGGTCCAGTGGAAGTCAGGAAAACATGGATCAGAGAACCCTTCATGCTTATAGGAGGCAGGTGACTGCGTGGGCTTTGCCATGATTGCTGGCTTGTCGGTAAATTATGACGTCTTTGATCATTGGAGCATGGCTTGCAAGAACAGAAGCCCACACAAGACATTCTCTTAGAGTTCTCATCTTATTAGTTGCCTCTTTGTTTTCCTCCATGAAATCCTAACTCCTGGGACTCTGTTCTCTTTACCCAACCAGAACTGACCCACTACAGTGTTCATGTTGGGGCTTTAGGCAGAGTTTCAATGCAACCTGGTCATTCGGGCCATGGGTTGAAACTAGCAGCAATGTAGTTCCCCATGCAGACCCCTTACCCTCTATGTTGAGAGATGCATATCTGTTGAAGATGGCCATCATAGATGGCCAGACAGATGCCAAGGGCTGCAGTGAGGAAACAAGGTGCTTTTTGTTGCAAAACAGCCTCCTGGAACCTAGGACACAGTTCTCATTCACCTTACGGATGTTATGCATCTTATTTGCACCTCCTGGATGACCTGTGACTGTTGTTGGAGAAGATTGTTGTTGATAGCTTCCACTGACTTGGCCCCTGTCTCCTGGTGACCCAGTGTATGTCAGTCCTGCTGTGGTCCCTCGGGTTTCCATGGCTGATTTAAAGGCCCTTTAGCCCTCGGAGTGAACTGACTGGGAATTGAATTTGGTCTCCTACATCAACACAAAAACAAACCGGATGCCATAAAAGTCATTTCCAATTCTAGAGTAACCCTATTGAGTTTCAGAGGCCAAGTCAACCTTAGGGCTGAGGGTGTAAAAGAAAGCATTGAAGAACCAGAGGATGGAGTTTGGATCCCATCACAGCTGCCGGAGGGTGAAGAAGCGATTTCCAAAATGCGAAAGCGATAGAAAGGAAGCCTCAAATTCTCCCTAAAAAGAGTAGCTGGTGGTTTTGAACTCAGCAGCCCAACTTGTGAAATACTACGCCACAGTCCTTGGTGTAGAATGGCCCTGAGATGAACTAGAATTGAAAGAACCAGATGAGGACTTGAGGATTTGTTAGGAGCTGGAGCAGGGACCAGGTGTGTCTACTGAGCATGCTGAAATTCAGGGGGGGTACACCATGGTGGGCACTACACCTGGAGTGGCCCAATCTAGGCCAGAGTGTTTTTGGGACTGGACAAGCCTCATGCAGTCAGCAGCCCAGTGTGTAACCCACTACGCCACCAGGGCTCCTGGACTCCTGTATAAAATTTAAGAAAGTCACCATGAACCACTCACGTTATGGTGGCCCCCATTGAAAAAATATGCCCCCAACCCCTGAACACTTAAGGAGTGTTCTCCTGAAGTGCCCCAATTAATTCTGTCTAAAAGCCTCGTGCCTGAAATGGGATGTCTGTAGCTGCTGGCAGACCTCCTGTGAGCTGAATTCCAGCTACCAGTGACCTTGAAACCACTTTGATCACCTGGCTTTTGCTGTACGCTGGCACCATCCCCACCTCCTCTCTCCCCATGCACCCCAACCCTTGTGCTCTTTTTTCAGGGCAGTCTATTTCGTTCGGCACAAGGAGTCCCGGCAACGGTTTGCCATGAAGAAGATAAACAAACAGAACCTCATCCTCCGAAACCAGATCCAGCAGGCCTTCGTGGAACGGGACATCCTGACCTTCGCGGAAAACCCCTTCGTCGTCAGCATGTACTGCTCTTTTGAAACGCGGCGTCACTTGTGCATGGTCATGGAATATGTGGAAGGTAAACCCAACTCTTGTTTCCGGGCACTGGACACCTGTACCCAGGAGGCCCCGGCTCATTTTGTGCTGTGAGACCCATACCCACGTAGGAACTGAAGCTAGGCAATGAGATGGCTGTCATCCCAGTCATTATCTTCTGATAATTGCCTGTAAAGTGCCTACTCTATGACAGCAAAGGGGAAATTAGTGCTATTTGGGAAGAGGCTGTTTGTCTTTTTTTAATAGCTTTTAATCCTAACAACCACCTCTCAAGTTGGTCGTTAAAGTTGGAATATAGGTGATGGGATTTTCCTACTTATTTTTATCACATACCATAAAAATGTTCATTACAATTGGTTTTCTTTAAGAATGCAGCCATAAAGCTATAGCCTCTCTTGTGAGTCTATAGCCATGATCCCTGATGGCACAGTGGTTAAAACTCGCGGCTGCCAACCCAAGCAAGGGTCAGGGGTTCAAACCCAAGCAGCTGTCATGAGGGAGGGCGATGCGGCAGTCTGCTTGTGTGAAGGCTTACAGCCTTAGAAGCCCTGTGGGCAGCATTACCCTGCGTGATCGCTTTGCTGTGAGTCGGCGTTGAGTGGACAGTGGGTTGGATTGGAGGGAAAACATGGTAGCCTGGAGCAACAATGGCCTATGAGAAGGAGTTGCATGTCAGAAAATCTGGCAGCCAGAGTTTTTTTTTGTTTGTTTGAACCTTATCATGCAGGTTTTTAGTCAGCTTTTTATATGCTCTAAGTAATCTGTTGATTTTATGTTAAATTTCTGAGTGTTTATATTAACATAATCATGTTAATAACGAATGAATAGATCAGCAAAGGCTGAAAGAATTTTCGAAGTCTCTAATTTATGCTCTTTCCATTGGTCCAGGAGCCCTGATAGCAAAGCGGGTTATGTGTTGGGTTGCTCACCGTGAGGTCAGCAGTTCGAATCCACCAGTATAGAACTTAACGAAGCACTGGCCACACATTAGGCCCACTTATTCAAAGGAGTGAAATGAAGGCTAAGGGGAACCTACTGGATGCTGAGTTGTAGGTTCAGGTGGCCAGCAGTCAGAATTGACTGGATGGCAGTGAGTTTGGGTTTGGCTTTTAAGACAAAAATGTAGTTTACCTGAATTCCACCCATTGTTCTTGCCACCACACCAATGCAAAGAAGCTGCAAAAATCTGTGGAAGATTCTAGATCTATTCAATCCATTTTTCACCAAGTTTTTGAAGCTGCCTCGTACTTTCTGTTATTAGTCTGTTGTTGTAGTCATTGAAACAACAACCACAATAGTACAAGTTTTTATTATGCTTCATATCACATGCTGAATTTATGTTGGATGATGCTTTAAATTGTTTCTATAGGTTATCTCGTTTAATTCTCACATTAATCCTCAAAGGGATGACTCCATCCCATCCTGATAAAACAGGTGAAGGAACTAGGACCCAGGGAGCTATCAGATGGTTTGTTGAGACCTCTGAACCTGTAGACAGAGGATCTGAATTTGAATGAGTCCCCTGGTTTCATACTGAGAGCGCTTCCTTGTCACCATGTTCCTAAAGTGGTGGTGGGCATTCTTCAGCGGGGACTTCCATTTCAAAGCCAAACCTCCTTTTTTGGGGTACTCCTTAAGCAAACGTTTCTATTTCCTCTGTACTATGTGGAAGGTAGGAAATGATTACTTAGAGCATGTATGATGATGGCACGCTATGTCCATGGCTAGGGACGATTCTGCTTTGAAATGCTCTAGCCTAAACGGATGATCTTTAATCCTAATGGATCATGTGTTGCCCAAACCTTTTATTCTGCTTTATAGGGGGCGACTGTGCAACACTGATGAAAAACATGGGCCCTCTCCCGGTTGCGATGGCCCGGATGTACTTTGCTGAGACTGTCCTGGCCTTGGAGTACCTGCACAATTACGGGATTGTGCACAGAGACCTGAAACCCGACAAGTATGTACACAGAAGGCTTTTCCACACAGGACAAAAAGTGTTCTTATTAATATCTACAAAAAGGCTTTGTTTTAATGTTGCTTCGCTCTTTTAAACTTCTCCTATAATTGTTCCCCAATGGGTAATGTTCATGGTTTATATAGAGTGATTTTTATGTAATCCTTGAGAGCAGTGGTTCTCAACCTGTGGGTCATGACCCCTTTGGGGGTCAAATGACCCTTTCACAGGGGTCGCCTAAGGCCATCAGAAAACACATGTTTCCGATGGTCTTAGGAACCGAGACACCACTTCTCTATCCGTCTCAAGGTGAGTCTGCCCACATGGAGATATACCCCCATATGAGTACCGGGCGTGAAGACTGTTACCCATGCTACACCATGCTTCAAGACAATTTGTCATTAGAAATAAATATTTCACAATATAGAATTACATATTATTTTTGTGATGAATCGCTATGCTTTAATTATGTTCAATTTGTAATAATGAAAATACATCCTGCATATCAGATATTTACATGACGATTCATAACAGTAGCAAAATGACACTGAAGTAGCAACGAAAATAATTTTGTGTTTGGGGGGTCACCACAACATGAGGAACTGTATGAAAGGGTCACAGCATCAGGAAGGTTGAGAACCACTGCATTAGAGGTTATGATACATAAAACAGTAACAGGAGAAACGAACAAATGGTAAATATAAAGCCAGGGTTAACTTTGTAAAGTAGATTTTATTATAGAAATTTTGTATATTTCCGCCTGGAGTGCTATTAGTTTTCTTCCTAGTTTTGGTATTTGGCATCATAATCCTCCCTGTGCTGCAAGATGAAATCCTGGGTAACATTTCCCATTTTGCTTACAAACCTAATATTCTATTCATCTCTTCATCCATCAGGGTGCACTTGGGGGTCTGATAAACTATTTCCCCCAAACGACTGGACATTTCTTGTGGTACCATTCATTAAATGTTTTATGCCTTCTTCCTAATTTGAGAGGCTGCCAACCCTTTATATGTTAATATGTAAAGACTTTAAAGGTCTTGAAAATATGATGATACATTTGATTTATGGTGATTGTAGACCATGTGGAAAGTGCAGGAAATCCTAAGGAAGGGGAAATACTCAGAGCATCACCACACAAAGACAACCACCGTTGAAATGTTGGCATCCTTCCCCCACGTGGCTTCTTTCTCCTCCAGTACTCCACTCATCAAACTAAGATGCACTCTTTAAATTGGACTTTCTTTTCATTTCAGTGAATACATTCAGAAAGCCATCGGATGTCAGTTCTTTGTGTCTATAGGAAATGACTTTGTTGTTGTTGTTGCTTTTTTGTTTGGGCGTAACATGGAGAAACTGACATTTTAGCTGGCCAGGGACCTCTCTTGTTCAAGTTCTTTGTCTTACGCCTCATTTAAATCCCAGATGTTGCAGCCATCACAGTACCTGGTGTGTGACACAGGATGATAGGTGGTGTTTCATGGGTTTATTTATTTTCTTGTGAAAGTGGAAAGGGGTCAGAGTGCCGTCCTTTAATTTTTCAGAGCATCCCAGAGTATTGTAAATGAGACTGTCCTGGTTGCTGCAGTATGAAGGAGCTGGGCCCTGGGGCTGGCCCTCCCTGGTGAATTCCACTCCGCTGTTAGATGCACGTACTTGACACCGGCCTGGGCTGCCTTCTCTTTCCGCACTGGCATGTCTCACAAGGTTGATACCAGTGTATGCAATAGTCTTACCAACTCAACTAGGAGAGAGAGGGCCTGGGACCCTTCCAGGAAAGAGCCAACCCGCCACCTGCCCTTATGCCATGTTTGTCCTTCTGATGCCTAGTTTGCTGGTCACCTCCATGGGGCACATCAAGCTGACAGATTTTGGATTATCCAAGGTGGGACTAATGAGCATGACCACCAATCTGTATGAAGGCCACATTGAGAAAGATGCCCGTGAGTTCCTGGATAAGCAGGTAAGCCCCCATGCTGCTCCGCAGCGGAATGCAAAGGACAGTGATTGCCTAAACCCACTTGCCCGGGTGGACTTGGCATTAGTTCTGGTGGGGGAGATGTCTGTATAAGCCTTACCTTTAATAAAGTGCAAATTGCTCCCATTTTTCTCCCTGGCCCTCTGTGAATGGTCCACTCCTTCCCAGCCCTCCCTGGCATTATGGTCTATTAGCAAGACAAACGATCTAATTGCGCACAAGTGAGAGTGAGCAAGACAAATGGAAAGCTGTTTTTGTAAGAAATTCCGGAGTCTCGGTGGAGTACTCTGGACCTTGTGATTCAGCTACGATCCCGGGCGCTCGAGGCCCAGCCATGGCCCATTTCCCTTGAAGCATGCCTCATTACCGTGTGCCCACAATCTGTTCATTGCAAAGTTACTTAAGGTAAACCCTCTCCACTGTCAGGCGGTGATGAAACAACAGAGTGTGGATGTATTTTGGTCAGATCAAGCCTAAGAAGAGGACTGAGTGCCTTCTTGTACATTTAAGGGGTACGACTGGTTTTGATCTGCTCTCGGTGGCTAAAACCACAAAACGGTGGGTCAGAGGCCTAATTTGAGATGGAGAACGGCACCTCTTTGGGCTCTAGAGCAGACGCCGACACGTCCCTGCTTTGGCATTTAAGTATTGCCTCGCCTTTTTTTTAAGATCATGTGCCCCTGTGGGTCCATGTGGTTGAGCAGGTGCACCCCGGGCAAACTAATTGGTGTTTTGCCGCCTTGCTTATTCTAATGCATGCCTAATATTCCAATTATTCTGAGACTGCAATCCTCTTTCAGGTCTGTGGCACACCTGAATACATCGCACCAGAAGTGATTCTGAGGCAGGGCTACGGGAAGCCCGTGGACTGGTGGGCCATGGGGATTATCCTCTATGAGTTTCTGGTTGGCTGCGTGCCATTCTTTGGGGACACTCCAGAAGAGCTATTTGGCCAAGTCATCAGCGGTAAATATCATCGGGAGTTATTTTTAAGCCGCTGTTGGGGAAGCGGCTATTTACCACGAATTGGCGGTGGGCCGCCGTTTTCACTATGAAAATGTTAACCTTTATCAAGCAGTTGAGCCAGCAAATTAAAAGAACTTGGTTCCCCACAGCCCTCCACTGGCTTCCACAGCCTCCAGAGGGTCATCCGAGTTGAAAATTGATCTGCGGAAGTTTTCCTAACACAGAATTTGGAACGGGACTAACAATGCAGCCACCTTTTATAGCATGCATTTTCCGCACTAGAAATTGGTATGGGATTTACAAACGGTTCTGTAGCCTTCCAGCCTTCCTTTCCATCATAGGAAAGTTTCGCCAGGGAAGAAAAGGTTAATGTGAGCAACATTTACATAAATGGAAAAAATGGCTAACGACACACTAAAGAAATTAACACAAATGTCATAAACCCTAAAACAAATGTCTACCAAATAATAAATAATGAGAATGGGAAGGGAGCAAGTGTAACCCCCAGATTGTTAATGATTTCATTGGTGGTTGTTCCGGAGTAATGTTATTTCTGTAACAGCTGTTCATCTTTCATTTAAAATGCAATAACCTTTAGATCTTAACCTGCGTGCTGACCCCAGCTATTGTTGTGCGACTAAATGATAATTAAATAGGATCTATCGCTACCCTACCTGCTGTTATGATAGATCTCCCAGAAGCATAGATCAAAAAGGCCTCTCATCCTAAAAGTGTGGCAATTGTCACTGACTGACATCTCCCTCAACTACCTCTGGTCTAGCCGGGACTGCGCCTTCAAGACCCAGCCATGAAAACGGGAGGAAAACAGATCTATTTGGCCTGCAGGAGAGCTTGCAATCACAGCATGATTCTCTATCGCTGGTTTCACCAGCCAGGCATGTTTGTAAACTTTAACGAAGTAGATTTGTGACTCGCCTGCAGTGTGTAACCCTTGATACGATATCTGAGCTGTTTATGGATTTATAACTAGGCGGTTTTCTGCTATACCAGGGCCTGAATGGCAAAGGGAATCAACTGTTTAATTAACACAAGCAGCAAATGCTGGCTTTGTTTTTGATGCCTCACGGCTCCGATGCATATTCATGTTTTATTTTCCAAATCAGATTTAAACTGCAGCAGAGGAAGCTGGAGGCAGGCCCACTCAGAAATAACTCGGGTTTTTATTGCATTTCCGTACACACAGGCACGCACAACTATCTTCGGGCAACCCCTTTTATAATGTAGAACATAGCCTAATATTTATGACATGTGTTAAAATACCTCCATTATGATGATTACTTTGAATGCATTTCTTTCTTTTTCTTCAGTCTTGGCATTTTGACCTTTCCTTGGTCTCTGGAAATATTTGTATTTACACAATCATTCTTGCTTT